AAACAGAAAAGACTAATCAAAAGAAAATATATTGGCGTATACAGCAAGATAAAAACTCTCACCGTCTTATTACTAAAAGGGAACTAACTATTAAAACATTACCCGATAAAATAATTAAGTCAACACGTTTCAATTTTGATGTTTATTCTTTTGCAGTTGACGATTTGCTTTAGGCTGACAGTTTAAAGCAAGTACTAATTCTCCTCAATTTGTAAGAAGACGATCAGAAACTAATATACTGAAATAAGTGTAATGCTGCAATTACTTGCTATGTTTGATATTTCTGTTTAATATAAAAGATTTCTTTTTTATAAAATATTATCGATACCAGGTTTTGAAATGGGAAAACCTTGTTTATATATATCTATAAATATTACAACATCCAACTTATCTAGACTGAACTGCCGTCCTTGAGCTAATGACGTCTAGTTTAATAATATAGCATGAAAGGGATTTCCTTTCAAACTATTTTTATCACTTTGTGATCACCAATGCTATAACATCCACCATCGGTCCTTCGAAAAAATTAATTGAAATTCTAATGATAACAGTTGATATATTAGGTCCTTACAAAATGATATTGGCGTTTTGTCGTACTGGCCACTTTAGTAGTAGTTTCGTCCATGGGACAGGCGAAGGAACTAAGCCATACAGCCTTCTTGGGTTATATTCTTTATTAATTATAAGGCAATGTCTAGTCTTTTCTTCTTGTCTTCTTTTTATTCCGTCTTGCCTTATTTAATTTTTTTTAAATGGCTGATAGCCAAACCTTTAGTTTTAAATTTCTTTATCTTGTCCAGGGTTATTATTTTACATATCCGGAAAGGTCAAATCAGATTTCTCCAAGAGTGGAGCTAATATATTCATAAATCGCTACAAAGTTTTCTGGGCAAGCTAAGAGATCCTGAAGGGAAGGCGGGATAGTCTTGTATCTTTTCAGGAGGTGATGAATTAGAACAAGTCGCTGGATATTGTAGGTTGGGCATGAAAAAAAGATGTGTTCAAGTATCTGGTTTTCTTGAGTTGAACATTCGGTGCGTACTGGAGATGTTATCATATGCATACGATGTAAGTGAGCTTTAAATCGGCAATGTTCAAATCTCAATCTATTTATTTGAGTGTAGAATTTCCTCTGGAGATAGTTATTGGATATAGCGAACCAGGGTTTTCTGCCAACTTCTTTATTGACACCAGCATACCATGCACCTTTTGTATTAGTGACAAATATTCTTTCTGGTGTCTATAGCTCGTAGATTTTTTACGGTATTCTGGTAACACATCTTGCCAAGGACAAGAGATGTTTTTAATATCGCTACCTAGTAAATTCGTTAATCTGGCAAGATAGTCAGCATTTTCATTGCCTGCCATACCAACATGTGCTGGAGTCCAAAGAAACTTTACATTTTTTTTTGTTGTCAGATAATTTTTGAATAACTTCTTTAATTTCGAACAATATATAATTAGCACTCTGTAAGTTAAAATTGAAGACGGACATACTATCGGAAACTATTAAAAACTTGCTTTTTTTGGAGCACATGATATCCGTTTGAACATATCTGAGAGCCAACAGAATTGTAGTGGCTTCAGCCGAAAACACGCTGAAAATAACTGGCAGTCTATGTCCTTTGCCGTACTTAACATTTTTGTGGTAATAAGCAGCTGATACTCCAGAGTCATTTTTTGAGCCATCTGTATAAATTCTTTCATAACCTAGCCATTCTGATAACTTTTTTTGTTTGTAAGTTGTTATTTATATTTATTTCTAACTGTGGGAATTTTCTTTCATAGGAACCTTTATAACAAGCCCAGTGTTCATTTCTATTTATGTTTTTTTCTAAAATATATGCTGATATTTCACAGAAATCATGAAGAATATACGGGAATTTACAATGAGTATTTACAAATGTTAATGATGAAGAAGGCTCACTTAGACGAATCAATTTATCTACTAAAGGGTAATTATTTATACTGTAAATTGTAAGGATGAATTTAAGAAAGCTATATTCTGTTTTTAGTCTATATTAATGATCTCTGTAACATGATGATCCCACACACCAAGATAATCTCATATGCAGATGACACTGCCGTGATTTTTAACGGAAATTCGTGGAATTGTTTAAAGGAGATTGCCGAACAGGAATTGACTAGGATTGCCGAATGGTTAAATAATAACCTGCTTACTCTTAATACATCAAAGACGAACTAAATTTGTTTTTCAATTTGTGATAAGTATCAGTCCGATACAAACTTTGAAATTAAGATTCATCTATGTAATCATGATGTTAACTTGAATTGTACTTGCGTTCTCATAAATAAAGTCAAAACAACAAAATATCTTGGAGTGCTGCTGGATCAAAAACTGAACTGGTATCCTCATATTGACTTAGTTGCTAGTAGATTACGGAAGCTCATTTGGGTTTTTAAAGAACTGAGGCATATCGCAGATAAAAAGCTAATAAATGAAATATATATAGCGTTAGCACAGTCAATTACAATTTACTGCATTACCCTCTGGGGAGGAGCATTCAAGACAAAATTTCTAGAGGTTGAACGTGCTCAAAGAGCCTTAGTTAAAGTAATGTTATTTAAAAAAGGAGATTTTTAACTCAGTCTTTATATTTTGATGCAGATCTACTTACAGTAAGAAAACTTTACATATTACAAATTGTTTTAAAGAAACATAAATCTATAGAATACTCTAATGATAAAGAAACTAAAAGGAGGAAGGATAAAGTTGCTACTACAACATATGTTCACACTAGATTTGCGCAATGTCAGTTCATGAATTTATCCTCACACATTTACAACAAAATAAACAAAACCCTAAAAATATATTCATTGACATTAAAGAAATGTAAAAAAGAAGTTACGGAATGGCTAAAATGTTTAGACTATGATAAAACTGAAAATATTTTACAATCATACCCTGGGCTAATTGAAAAATTAAGTTAACACACATAAATCAAACACACACAAACACATAGACAGACAGACACACACACACACGCACACACACGCACACACAGACTCACACAGACTCACACATACACACACACGCACACGTTTGCACGCACTCAGATATATAATTAAGATATGGAAGAGTGGTTTCCTGTAACACAGGAACTTATAGTACTTAATAGAGGAAGCCAACGCATAAATTGTTAAAACTCGTAAGCTGAATAAAAGTCATTATTATTATTATTATATTCAAAATGGAAACGGACAATGGATTTATGCAGCATAAGTAAGATTTTTGGATCAGCACCCCAATAAGTCCGAGCTAAGGACTTTAAGGTGTTAAAAGCTCTTAATGATTTGTCTACTAAGCCAGCTAAATGTTTATTCCATGATAAGTTCTTAGTAAATATGACACCGAGGAACTTAGCCTCATTACTTACGGGGAGTGGATTGCCATCATATATAATATTGGTGAGTTACATTTAACTTTTGCTGAATACTACAACATTGGATTTAGTGAGATTAATATGTAATTTCAGTTATGTAAAGTATGATTTTAATTTTTGAAATGCATAGTTAAGTTTTTTCTCCACTTAAGGCATATTTGTGCCAGTACAGTAAACTGTGAGATCATCAGTATATTGCAAATTATTTACATCATTTCCTAATATACTATTTAACTTATGTATATACCGAATAAATAACAATGGGCTGAGTATTCCACCTTGGCAAACTCCTTTATTAGACATTTATAGTCCAAACTAATTATTTTGAAATTTAACATTGACCTCCCTACTGTTTAAAATATTGAACATCCATTTTACTAATTTCACAGGTAACTGGAAAGAACACAATTCTTCTGCTAAAATATGATAGTCAACATTATTGAAGGCGCCTATGATATCAAAGAAGATACACACAAGAAACTTACCATTTGTAAAGGCACTATGTATGTCTAAATATAAATGATTTAGGCTCTCAACTGCTGAACGACCATTCCTAAAGTCAAACTGATTATAAGGCAATCAAATATTGTGTTCTATAATATATTCTAGTCTTTGTTCGATCAATTGTTCGAAGAGTTTTGCTGCACTAGATGTTAGAGCTATAAGTCTATAGGAGTCATGTTAATCTTTATCTTTGCTAGACTTTAGAATGGTGACCAAACAATCGACTTTTGGTGGACTAGTGTCGGTGTCGGTCATTACAGTTTTCTCAAAACTAGCTAGACGATTGCGGCAGACGTATATTATCAGTAATTGCAAACCATGCTGGAAAAACTGGTTGTTAAAAAACAGAGGCTGGTCAATCGCTCTACGCCACTGCTACTTCACGACAACGCTAGACCACACGCTGTACAACAGACGGCTACCAAATTATTAACAACACTTCAATTGGAATGTCTAAGACATCCAGCGTATTTTCCGGACCTTGCTCCAACACATTACCATTTTTTTCGAAATATGGATAACTTCTTGCAAGGGAAAAATTCACCTTCGATGGGGCAGTGTAAATCGCCTTCAAGATTTTATTGATTTCCATCCGAATGGTTTTCTTAGTAAGGGGATCAGTGAACTACCTATGAGATGGCAAAAGTACATAGATAACAATGGTTTATACTTTCATTAAATAAATATATTATATTAAAAAATATTCGACTTTTTGTTCCTCCCATACCAAACACCAATTTATGTAAGTAAGGACCAACATATGTAAGGACCTAATATAAACAAAATAATATTTTATATGTTCTCGTATTTTAGTATTTACTAGATAATTGCCTAACCTCTTAAAATAGTTATTTTGTTTTGGACGCGATTTAAGATCTCTATCTGTTTCGTAGCGTGTTGTATTCTAATAATATCACTTTTTTGAATTTAGAGTAAAGCATAAAGTAAAATTGGATATTTCATGAACTTTATCGTCATTTGTCCAGAATGTAATTTATTACACTGTGATAAAAATCAACGGAGTGAAATTCCGCTTGTCAGCTCAAGTCAGCAATGCAGTCAAATATAGTAAAAATAAAACTATATTGGTTATAAAAAATATTAAAAAAAAATGTAATTTTTCACATAAATTATCCACCACTTTAGTCTAAGGCTAGGTCTTCTGGAGGCACATTGTTGAAGAATTTCTTGATTTGTCCAACCACTTTGGTGATGAGTGCTTTGATAACTGGTGCGCCGATTTCAGTGATGATTTCGTTACTATTTGATTCAATCACCTCGTTAGCAGCACGGCCTAGTGAGGAAAAAAAAATTTGGTTAACAAAAATTAAGGGGAATTAATAATAAAATTATGACTTTAGTAATTACTTCTATCGATGATATAAGTATGGTAGGGCAGAAGACCCGGCGACTGCTCCCTTTTTGGCCATTTGAAACTTCAAAGCGTTCTAATACATAGGCAAATGTATTATTTTAACATGAACGGTTAACTTCTTAGTAACTCTTAAAATGGCCAAAACTAGGTCATAATATAAAAATGGCCACAACCGAGTCGGCTCACCTAGGTACTGCACAATTTTCTGCAAACATTTTAACAAAGTGAAGCGTTTTTGTACTGAATAGCTAAAATTTCAAAATCAGATATAACAGCACATTGGATTACTGTAAAAAGTCAAATATCTGCAATCGATTTTTTACTTAATAATTTAACTAAAAATCGACTTGACGTGATGTCGACTACATTTAAAGGTATTAAAATACAATAATTCTTTTACTAATTATTATTTTTGAACATTCTGGTTCGTGGTGTTTGAAAACGATGAGGTATCTATTAAATACTTTTGCTCCTGATGCCAGTCTTACTCGACCAAAATATTCAAGCGTCATAACTCATAACGGTCTAAAATTGTTTTCTATTTCAGTAGTTCTGTCTATACTAACATCTTTTTCTTTTCTTTTTTACACAAAATTATTATTATTACTGATTTACTTTATCTTATTCGATATCTTCACGCCAAATCCTTTGCAAGGTAGGCAGAAATGAATCAATCGTCACGGGGTACGCTCCTTACACTCATCTTTCACAGTTTTTGGCTCTACCGCAAAAGTGACCGTTTTCACCGTGTTCTGGCTTTCAAACTTTTAAATAATTAATCAGCATTAAACTATCTAATCACAGCAATCCCGATTGTTGCATAAATGTTAACAAAACACGATGCTATCCTAACTTTTTTCATGCACTCTTACCGGTTTCACCTCCCATATATTTACTTGCGCTTGAACTGTTATAGAGCTAGAAGTTAAAGGCTACTTACCTAAAACTTCATTGCCAGCAAAGAGGTCCTCGAACTTAAGGTCGGCTTTGTCTTTCAGCTCAAAAGTATGAGTGAAACTCTTGATGTCCCAATATGTTTTTCCGTCTTTTCCTTTCTTCTCACCCATATTTCCATCGACATCAATTACGAGTTTTCCTGAACAAGACAATTTATTTTAAAATACATATTATTTTAGTTAAATCGCATCTTTTACATTAGGTCGCAGGAAATATCTAAAGAAACGCCTTTACGTACATTAAAGGTACTCTTCTACTATTATAACTATCGACTTTTTGTTTTGCTATGACTTCATAGAGTTAGATATGTTGAAAATATTAGTTTATGAACCACACTAAGTTGCGAAAATGTGTGTAAATAAGGATGTTATTTATACGTGATTTTTTTTATTTATTTATACAGGAATATACCTACTTATATGAAACCTACTAACGCTCATATCGAGCATTAATAGCTTTCATATAGGTAGGTTTATTCCTGTATAAATAAATAAAAAAAATCACGTATAAATTATATCCTTTGATTTATTAGTGACGGAAAACTCAACAATTTCAAATTTTCTTTTTTAATAAAAATATATTCATATAATTGGTCTATTAATTAATACTGCATTAATAATTATTGAATATTTAAAAATGTCAACCGTTTTAAATTTTTCCAAAAGTGATCAATTTTAAGTATTTCTTAAAATGGTGTTATGATAGTAAAATTTATCGAAAATAATAATGATAAGAGTAGCTCGGTGGAGTAGTGGATAAGCGCCGCGGCCTGCGATCGTAGTCGTTAAGTAACTTTCGTAAGGGTCGGTCACGGGATGGGTGACCATAAAATTATATTCTCGAGCTACTCCGTACTTCGGAAGCATGTTAAGTCATTGGTCCTGGCTGCATTTGCAGTCGTTAATACCCTCCAATCCGCATTGGGCCAGCGTGGAGGGTCATGGCCCATCCTCCTTAACCATCCATAAGGAAGGCCTGAGCCCCTGCAGTGGGTACTTAAAAGGGCTGAATAATAGTAAATTGCTTGAGCAAACGCGAAAGATTTTACTAATTTTGCCATATTTTTCATTGTGTACATAAATTACTAATTTTTTTTAGCAATGAATATCGTTAAACGTCCAAGGTTAACTTCTTTAATTATGTTATTAATCAGACTTTAATATTTTTGTTATTTATTTTATTTCTTAAGAAAAATTACAAAGACAGAGTTAATATTTGGTTTTAATATTAATACAAATATATCCTATCATCATCATCATCCATCAGCCCTTTTACGTCCCCACTGTAAGAGCTCAAGCCTTCCTTGTGGATGGTAAAGGACGAGGGGCCATGACACTCCACGCTGGCCCAATGCAGATTGGAGGGCATCTACGACTGCAAATGCAGCCGGAACCGACGCCTTAACGTGCCTTACGAAGGACGGGGTAGCTCGAGATAATATTTTTTTGGTCATCCATCCCGTGAACGACCCTTGCGAAAGTTGCTTAACAATAACGAACTACTCGCCTTCTCTATGAATGGAATCAAATAGGAAGAATATGGAAGTTCATAATTAACCACTCGAGCTGAGTGCTTTCTTTGGTCATTCCTATCCTTGGCGGCAGAATCCACCCTTCGGAATGTTGCTTATCACACGCTAAACCCTGCTTAATTGGACACCTCAGTATTAATTTTTATCTATTACATAAAACATAGTTTAATTATTAGCTGGCCTTGTTTTTTCTATGACTAACCAGAATCGTTCTTTGGACTCTATAATTTATGCAAATAAGTATGCGAGAATACTTTGCAATCTGTTTTTAATGAATATTAATAACAACAGAGTTTTGAGTTGTCACTTAAAACAGTCTTTGACGTAATTGATACGTAAGTAATAAATCTTCGATGACAAGAAGACATTCATATATATCACACATATGCTCCAAGGTGATTCACACTTATAATATCTTCAAGGTACAAGAAAAAAAATCAAACACGTTGAATACACTTGTTATATCTCTATAAGGAATAATTGTTCGTATCATCTCAAAAATTGTCATTGCAACTGGAATTCTCCGCGTGTTATTACAATGTTTTATATTAAGGTGCGTTCACACATAAGTCAATTAGTAGAGCGACATCTACCATCAGCGCGTAATAACAGAAATAAAAATTAATGTAATACTTATTCGTTGTTTCACGTTGCACACCCAAGTTACAATTTACTATCAGTTTTATCAATATACTTTTCTCTGAAATTTGACAAATCACTTGACTACTTCTGTAGCTTCAGCATGTCACTTTGTCTTAAGCCTCGACAAATTCCCGACTGGATCAACGTAGAAAACGATCTAATCTATATTATTTTAGAACTGGGTAATTTTGGTTCCATCGTTATTTAAAATTTCTTTATAAAATGTGTTTTAGCTAGTTAACAATGGTGGCTTGTATTATTTAAGTAAGTTAGTTTAAGGTTTATGTCAGATTTGACAACAACTGTCACGCTGACTTTGACATTGACTACGGAATGCATTGCACTATCCTCTTTCTTTGCATTGTAAAACTGTAATTTTAACAATAACTATAATAATGTTATGACATCATCTTACCATTCCCAAATCTCTTAACCGATATCATTCTCTTAACCGGTACTTTATGATGTTTGTTATTGTTAAAGTAAGTTGGTGCAATCAAAATACTTCTAAAGTTACATTTTAATCTGTGTGCTTTTGAGGTAATAAGTACTTACTGAGTACGACATTAATTTTTCCTTTGCCGCTTACGTTAATGATAAGTAGCTTGCCTTCCATGTCGTATTGCCCTTGACTCATCACAGTGTCGCACAGAATTCTAGTACCCATCTTCGATTTTGCGACATCACGGCTATAAAAGAATAGATTTATTGTGAATCAATATTGTCTGTTTGCAAACTTATATTCGTTTATAGAAATAAGAAATTCGTTTATAAAAACAGTAGTGCTTTTAACGCAATAGATATACAATGATATTTCATATAAAGACCACGACATCTGATTTCATATTCTTATTGAAAACCGCTTGAAAAACCCACTTTGTCCCAAGCACTCTGAGATGGCACACGAATACGGCAGTCGCTTGGATTACGAGAGGTCATAAGTCATAAGAATATTTGTCAGTATAACATTGTTAATAGAAAATCGATCAAATATAATAATCTGATTTCATGTTTCAAGTCTCAAAGAAATACTGTGCTGGATGTCGAGTTCAATACTGATTTTACAAAATACCGCTGCAGTGCACTTAAATAATATAAAAAACATATTTATAAATGTGATTTAAGTTTATCGTTTTTCATCCTATTGTCGAATGTGTTCAGTACTAATGTTATACGTGGGAGTGTGCTCTAAAGTTATACATTTTGTCCCAGCTTCTTGCTAACATGAAACCATTACGAATCTTTTGTAAACCTTGACCCCATTCTACTTAATTGAACTTCAAGTCGCATGACCCACAGGTTCCAGCACCTGATCTCTATACTGGGTACTGAGTGATCTCTTAATACTTTCACATAGATCTAAATATGAACCGTTACAAAACTGTTGCACATATTTGTCACGAGCTTTTGGACTCTTCGACGCGAGATGAATTATTTAAAAATAGGGCCTTGATTTGAAGATGGTCTCATAATGCTGATCGCATAATCGGAACTGAAGGTGACAAGTGACTTTAGACTTCTGATTATTCAGCACGTATATGTATGCGATGGTTCATATACAAATAATTCTAAAATACCTTTCTTCTTTCGCTTCCGCCTTCCATTCTGATGGATGTCATCACTAAAGAGTTTGGCGTACTATCGCTACTTTTTAGCCTTTAGTCTCGAGCCTAATGTGACCTAACCTTATTATTTACATCAAATGTTGACATCCACAACTGTGATACAAATACGGAACCTGTTCGTATACTGGTTTGAGACACAGGTCAAGGCGAGGAAGCAAATTGCCGTGAAAAAACATATAGTGTTAATGGTTCTTGACGTTGTATGACGTTCCAAAGGTTAGATGTTATATAACGATCTTTTTAAAATTATAATTCTCTATTCATTTATTATAGCACCAGTGCGTTAAGAAGAATATACAAGGAAGTTATTGGATATTACAAATATTTGTTTCGAGACTTATATGAAGATCTTAAACTAGCTTCGCCGCGTGGTCCGCTGGTACCTTACTCATAGATCTAACCTCCCCTCCAGCACGCGCACCCCCGCCTTGGTGACGCCCACTTCGCAACGGGCCGTGCAGCAGAAATCGTAATATTTAATTTCGCCATAACTTTAAAACGTCCAATTTTAATCATTCAAAGACCAAATATTATCTACATAAACTGTCTCGGTAGTTTAATGGTTAGAAAAGTCGCCCGATTTGCTAAAGTTTGTGAATTCGAGTCTCGAGGTGGGCTGGTGGATTTTCAAACATTTTGCATTAAAGATATTTATCAGCACTAGATTTGTTAATGGATATAATAATAACAATTGCTTTGATTTGTTAAATAAATCTTGTTTTATGTAAACCTGATATTATTTAATCAAACATAATTAACAAGTATTTGTGTGCACCAAATGGCTATGTTTCGATAAGTACTTATGATAGGAACTTGGTAGTATTGAAATGTTAATTAATTCACATTTAAAGAAAAATAGTGTCACAACATAATTATTAGCGTCCCAATTATTGTTACATATTTGATATTAAAATATTTTTCAATTTTAGAGCAAATACTATCATAAAGAAAAACAAAATTGCCATTTAACAAACCAGATATCGTTGAAGTTTTCATATGACTAAGGTTTAGTGTGTCACTTACTGTGCGTTTTCAACGGTGCAGCTTGACATTCCGGTGGTAACTAGGTTGTTTAATATGAGCGTAAGGCCAGATGCGCTTGCGTTAATAGGATGCTTTATAACTATGGGGTCAAGCTTTTCAACGCCTAGTTCTGGGATGCCAGCCACGAAGGTACTGACTGCCGCTTGAGCTGATTTCGTTATGCATGCTGAATCTGCTGCTTTACATGGTGTAATGAATGGTACTGTAATGATAAGAGTTATTATGTTTTATACATTTTTAATATCACAATGTATTGGTAGCTATTTTATACAAAAAAAAACATCTTAAGTCCTTCTTGAGTGTTTAATAATATTTGCGCATAACACCACGCATATTTTAAGCATGATTTCTATAAGAACTATGAGCATAACATTATTAAGCATATATTAAGAGATTTTTTGACTATTATTACTAAAACTATAGCAATATCTTAAAAATGTTTTAGCCCATCTTTTACCATATTATAGAGCTTGTGTTAGAAACTTTATACATTGACAGTGCTATTAATAAACATGGTTTAGCGTCAGAGTAAATTTATGCTAAAATTGCAATTTTTGTATTAGTTCAAATTCATATTATACAAAGAACAAACAAACCTGGTACATTCTAACATTACTAAAATTACTGAATTATTACTACCGTGGAACCTACTAGGTTATTCTTTGCTAAGTCTCTGTTTAATGATATGAATTTTGACTAATACTAAGTGCATTCTTAGCGTAAATTTACTCCAACACTAAACCTTATTTATTAATAGCACAGACACAGTGCTAAGGTTTAACATTGACAGTGCTATTAATAAACATGGTTTAGCGTCAGAGTAAATTTACGCAAAATTGCTATTTTAGTATTGGTCCAAATTCATATTATACAGAGAATAAGCAAACCTATTACCTTCTAGGAATAAATATTACTCCCGTAGATCCTCGTACTAGGTTAACCTTGGCTAGGTTTCAATTTAATAATATAAATTTTGGCAAATATTAAGTGCAGTTTTAGCTTAAGTTTACTCCAATGCCAAACTTGTTTATTAATAACACTGTAAATGTATACAACCTAGCTCCTAAATAATAATTTATAAAAATAATGAAGAATAATAATGAAGATATTGGATGATAAAGCGCACGAGATCGTTTTCATTGGTCTATCTTTGGTTTGGCGAAAAACATTTCTGCTTTTCTTAATATGAGTTCGGCAAATTATTTTTGCATTTAGTATTAGGTACTTTACAATATTTTTGTAACGTTTTATTTTTTAATTTATTATAAACACTTTTAATAGCTTGTGTTAGAAAAAAGATAAAAGAGGAAATTAAATTACTAAATTTCTTCTTTTTTAATAATACTGTTTCATTAAAAGTATTAATGGATTTAAAAAAAAATGCTTAAAATAATATAAAAGTTTTAAAAATAAAAGACAAAAATATGTAATAATAAAATCAACTAAATAGAGTACAAACTCACCAGAAGTGCAGCTTCCTAAATAAATACAATTAAATAACAAACAAAATATTACTAAATTTTGATACATTTTAAAAAAAATACAACTAACGTCCTGTTTGGTCGGTTGACGTTTGAGTTGTAGATTCTTAAACTTATATGTTTACTTTTATAAGGTCAGTAAGATTAATGTACGTTTATATAATACTTTGGATGTGTGTAAAATTAAACATATAAAGGAACTCGTTTTGAGTAGTATAAAAAAAAACTAAAAAAAATTACCGGCAAAGTGTGAATCGTATTTGCGAAATAAATTTTTAAAGAAACACTCAAATTAAAGTTGATTTTTTTTTTAGATTGTATAGTGACCCGGAGTTTGTGATAACAGTATCCCTTAAAAGTGGGATAGTTATCATATTATTGTCACATTTATATTACAACTACTTGTTTTCCTGTGACTTCACCCGCGTAAATTATAGCCTATGATGTAGATTCCTGTAGGTGAAAGAATAGGAAAGATGATTATTTTTTTTTGTTTGTCCGGAAGGTAGATTGTTGAATAATATTAAACACGTATTTTTTTTATTTTTTACGTAATTATAAAATTACTACGATACATTGACTTAAAATGACACATGACGTCACGCTTTTGTACATTTTATACAAAACTGCGAGCTGCTACTCGTCAACTTTTTAATGCCTGCTTTCTAATTAAATTCATATCTAATATTCTTCTATTAGGTATCTGACTAATGGACTAAATAAAATTTCTTTTTTTTTATCAAAGTCCAGTAGCATCGGAGCCCATTTAATGCAAACAAATAAACAAACAATGAAATCCTCTTTTGTATTATAAGTGAGGTATACAACTATTTATACTATCGTCTTGCGAGCTGGAAAATCTTTTTATCGAATATTTTTTAAATTCAATTTCACCTCTAAACTGATTTCAACCAATAAGAGAGCCATCTTCAGACCAAGACAGGTCGAACGACTAAAGTTTCAAATGTTGACCTCGACTTTGAGATTGTGACAGCTCTATTTAAGTTTGCATAATTTAGTTGTTAGTCTGGTAAAATCATTGAACTCGTTGAATTTCGAACTGAACAAATACTTGTAATGGAAGCCGAGTTTAGGTTTGCATATATTTTTCGATTCATATCCACAAACACGAATATTTATCAAACGGGTCATGTGCCTTTCCTCAGAATCATCAACGTCTAAATAAATATGTATAAAGTTAATGGGACGTTTTTCATGTGCTTTCTGAATTCTTAGGGTAAGGATGCCGAATATGAGATACCATTTTTATTTTTGGATATAAAACATAAATTATTGCACTAATCATTTTGAAAATTGCAATATTTGATAGGGTATTTAATGAAGTTTATTTATGAGAGACCGTTTAGTTCTGAGTATAATAGATTTTTTATTATATCATAAAATATTAAGAAGTTCAGAAATTACGTCTCAGGCAAATGGTCTCCTATTATGAGATACTGAGGGTTGCTAATATGAGACAGTATCTCATATTAGGTTCTTTAGGGTTTGAGTATAGATTTGGAGAAAAAGGAAAGAAATTAATTTGAATTAAACTTTTTATTGGCTATATTCTCTAATTAACAACATCATACTCCTAAATAAATAGGTCTGAGTACGACTTAATATGTGTATGTAACGTACATGGTTATAATTTATATTAAACTTATCATAATCAGTGATTTTCAAATGGCACTTATTAAACAGTATCAAAAACAAAAGTATTATGCTAAATCTTAGATATGATTTATGTCAGACTCATCATAATCACAGAGATTTTCAAATCATACTTATTAAACAATATTAGTAATCAACAAAAGTCAAATCTTTTATTCTAAATCTTAGATATTTAAACACAAACACAAAAATCGATCTGTGGTTACTTCTCCACGATCCATGGTCTCAGGATTTCCTTTTGATCGGCCCCATCTAGTAAAAAGGATTTTTCAAATAGTCATATTTTTATATATCCTAATACGAGATATCTCATTTTAGGAGCACTCGCATGTCTCATATTAGGAAAACATCTACATTCAACAAAATGGCTGCACATTATTTCTCAGTAAAGAAAATGTAATAAAACTGCATATGTATCATAAAATTCATGATATAATTGATAGAATGACGGTAAATTAAAATCATTCAGTGTAATTAATACAGCTGTAGTATACCTTGTAAATATTTGATGAGAAAATTTGGTTTTGGGGTTTCGTGAAAACCCACGTATACACAACTTAACTTCGCCTTGGACTGGGAATCACTAACACACGTTTTGATCTTTTGTCACGTGGCTTCTAGCGACAGTAGCACCAAATGGCTGCGGCGATTAGTTTCGCCAAAACCTAACTATCTCATATTTGGCGACTATCTCATATTCGGCATCCTTACCCTATATATAAACGTCATATTATTTCTAAAGTAATACTCTTAGTTTATCTTTTCAAAAAGTATGGTTGATTTAAAAAAAATTAAAAGTTATTATTAGTATCTACAAAAAGAGTTAACAAATCCATGATATTTCTTTTGATCCTGGGAGACAATTAATTGGCCATACTTTTCATCACAGGACTTCAAATACTGTTTGTTCTTTTAAAGATTTATTAAATACTATTTTTTTAGATTAAAAAACATAAAAATGTCCTAGCATTGAACGGATTCATCAAAATCAGTGAAACATTCTTAATATGTAATAATCACTACACATACTGCCGAGTTACCGGTGGTGAAACACAAAAAGAAATGGTCAAATGCAAAAAGATTAGGTTATCCACTATCAAGTTTACCTTGGAGCCTACTCGCTTGGTGGTGTACGTATGCTAGACATAGTAACATAACTATGCACGCAAACAACTACAGATGGAACCTAAATAATCAGCTTAATGTGACTTTTGAAGCATAAATATCAACGAGATAAAGTAACTAAACCTCGAAAAGAAAGTCAAATCAACCCGAATAATTATGAACTTTCAACCTCCACAGTTTTTATTGTAAATATCATGATTTATAATAACACAGTAATATAAAGACAGTAATACTATTTCATATTGAGAAGTAGATGGGTACTTATTACCTATTGGTAATAAATACTTATTGGGTTGAAATCCTATTAATATTATAAAGGCGAAAGTTTGTAAGTATGGATGTATGGATGTTTGTTACTCTTTCACGAAAAAACTACTGGACGGATTTGGATAAAACTTTACAGCAATATAGGTTATACATCAGAATAACACATAGGGTACTTTTTACTGGGAAAACTTCTCACTCCCACGGGATACCGACTTCCACGCGGACGAAGTCGCGGGCGTCCACTAGTTAGTAATAAATATACAAACTGTTTACCTTTACATACTTATTAATACCTAAGCGATGTGAGTTTTCCATGAAAAGTTTTACAAATACGGATGTCAATAATTTTCCTGTTTACATTAACGAGTACAAGTTGACATTGCGATGTCAAATAATATGAGTAATTAAAGCGTCAACAAAGTTTTTTGTGTTTATAGATACCTACTTTCTATTGCTTTATGTTTAAAATTTTTTAAAAGCCAATAGTCACTATTCCACCTGGAAAAAGTTGTGAACACAGCTAATACTTTAATATATGTTCATGTTTTGTACACTAATCTTTTAATAGTCTAGTCAAAATAATTTTATATGTTTTCAAAACAAAGGTATTTAATCAATGTGTGTTGCCAGTGATGACGTATGGAACATAGCCGTGTTCGCTAACTGTGGGCCTTTTAAGTAGTCTCAAAGTCTCACAGAGAGCGATGGGAAGGGCTTTGTTCTGAGTTTCTCTGAGAGATCGAGTCAGAAACGAGGAGATTCGCAGATGAAGTGACGTGACTGACATAGCCCAAAGAATTGCTAACCTGGAGTGATATTGGGCACAGCACATAGCTCATAGGACAGATGGCCGTAGGGATCAGTAAAGTCTTTGTGTGGTGACCATGGACCGGAAAACGGAACGTGGGTGGGCCCTCACAAGATGGACCGACGATCAGTCCCCTTACTCTCGAACGCAATCGTGACTGAATAACAATGCATTTGAGCCGTTTCGTATACTTGATTGGGTACACTGGCGCCGGAGTATGCTAGTGAACCAATCAAGAGTGCGGTGCGGCACTATTGCAATGTCGATCGGTCACGATTGCGTTCGAGAGTAAGGGAGCTGGTCAGAATTGCCGGGAATCGACGAGGACGTTTTCCGACTGAAATGATGATGATGATATATGCGAGCTGCTCTATTGATTAGTTTGAGAAGTCTTTTGGTGTACCATTCATTAATTTATTTATTAAATATTATGTATTATGGACGTAGGAAGATGGAGAATGGGTTTATGGTCTGTGCACACCCTAGAATTATAACAAAAAAAAATTAAGACTTTAAAAAGCCTTTGTGTAAACAAAAATATTCTGTCTTTAATTTAAGCGTTATTATTAAGCGTTAACTCAACTTCGATAGGATGATAGCGTCAAATAAGCCAACAAGGCGCAACGAAGAGATCTTAAGAAAAAAAAAACCTAAGTGACAGATTAACGTATAATAATATTAACAATAATAATCAATATATACAAATATGACTACTTATAAGAAGATAGATATGTACACTGATTAGAAATTACAATATTTGCATAAATAAGGACTGATTTAGAAGAATTTAAAATTACGAGTATATAGAATATACACCATTTTTTTTATACCGAAGGGAACTGAGCCTTAACATTTCATCGACCTTGACTAGAGGCCGACTAAACCCGGGCTCGCCTTTTGTTGTACGCGGCCTATGGCCCTATACAACAACAGGCCTACCGGGCAAAGCTACCCTCCGTACCACCCTCTCACCTAGTCCGGTACCCGGTACCCTAGACTTAGTACCCGGGTAGAGACGGATATCTTTCCCTTTACCGTCTGACGAATACCTCGACAAACCACTCCTCGGCCTCCCCCTTGAGCTAATCTCCGCGGGCAACGCCGGCGCCCCTCTGGCACCCTATGAGCGATGAGTCGAAGCATTCCCGCTGCCATGGTGTCGGCCACTGGTCGGCGTGGCCCCTCCCCCCAACGGCTCATACAGACGCCGAAGTGGTGAGCGCCCTG